TATTGTGGTTTGACTGCTGTATTTTTAACCCTACTTAACATAAAATTAATTTAATTCAGCTGTGCGCCGTGTGGGGCGCCGATTATGTGTTTTCGCATCCACCTCAAAAATATGTAGTTGCGCCCCTGAGCAAAGGCTGTAAGAAATTATAGTTTGTTTTTATTTAGAAAATACGGATGTTTTGCTCGTTCATTTTCCTGTTAGAAAAGTGTAGATTGACCCTGTTTTGGCCCCCCCTCAGTGTACATTGCTTATAGAAATGTTCTGGCTACGCCTCTGTCTGTACAACAGATGGAAAGGAAGCAACTTTTGCTCTGTGCGCGCGGGGTTGTTAAAGGAGCGCACTGCGCAGCCAATCAGCTGCAGCCATTGCTCAGCTCTGTTAATCGTGGATTAGCCACAACCGACTGCAGTCCACAGCACAAGGAGGAAGATAGTCACTGCCACTCACTACTCAGCCTCTCCATTATTATTAGCTCCCTGTCTGCAGCTGCGACTTTGCGCAACTGAATCTACCCAAGAGCACAATACGGATCTCAGGTAAAAAAAAAAAAAAGGTTTAGAATAGCAGCAGGAAAATAAAATGGACCCATTCGCTAAGGAGTAGTTCAGGTAGGATTCATAAGATGGCCCTTTAAATTGAAACCCCGCATCTTGGAAACATCGCTCCGATTTTATTTTTTTTCCTTTCCGCTCCATATGTTCAAGACGGTCAATTATCCGGCGGTGGATCCCGCGTCCACCATCATGCACGGCGCCTGGCTTTCCACGGGGTGCCGAGAAAACATGCCCGTGGCGGTGGAGAAACCCAAGAAAAAGGCGTTCAGCCTGGTCAAAATAATGTCCCTGACTAACAAGAAGGACCATGGACAGAATGCGCACCAGCAGCAGCAGCACCACAACAACAACAACATGCCGTTCACCATCCACTGTCACATCGGGAAGGAAATCAAGCACATTTGCAGCAACTGCAGCCGTGGAAACAACACGCAAGACGGTGGGTAGGATGTGTGACTGCGCCCTTAGCTGGCCGAGTAGGGTGGCTGTGCGCCTCAAGGCTCTGGAAGGGCGTTTGGTAGCAGATCTGTCACCGTGCTGAGCTCTAAAACAATTAACTGCATCATTTTGGGTGGTCTGTGAATAGAGTTATTGTAAAACACAACCGGGTGAACTAATCTTGGTTTGAAAAATCTTTTTTATGTTTTACTCTGTGATGACATCCCTGTGGCATGCAGCCTTTACAGCGTGTTTGCTTCAAGCCTTTGCCAATTCAAAGTAAATGGATCATCACTCAGCCATCTTGGTAAACAAGTGTCTTTGATTAAAAGTTGGCCTAATGTAGGAATCTAACAGGAGTAGGATGTAGATAGCAGTCTTAAAGTGAGAGAAAATGCTGTGGTCACTTATAATCAGTCTTGGTAGGAACTCAGGTCTTTTTTTTAAAGTCCTAAATCATTTTCCTTTGATTCTTGCAAAGTGAGTCCCTGTCTCATCTGCCAGGATTTTAAGTAGATTGGAACATTTCCCCATCACCGAGATGGTTTTCTGTTTAAATGTTTCAGTGTGTTTGTTTATTTAAAGAGACCTTTTCGTTGAATAACAAACAGAATGAAAATCTTCATTACTTCAAACTGATTTCAGAACTACTCGAACAGCCTTTTAAGCTGTTTGATTTAAAGGAAAGCTCTATTTTCAAATCTATAATAATAATGATGATAATTTAACTTTATTGATCTAACATTGGAGAAATTCACTCTCTGCATTTAACCCATCCCCTTGGGGAGCATTGGGCACCCGGTTAGCAGTGTGCGGTTAAGGGTCTTGCTCAGAGACCCAGAGTGGCAGTCTGTGGGAGTGGGGCTCAAACTCCGAACCTCAGGATTCCAAGCTCTATGGCCTAACAACTAGGCCATAAACTCCCATAAAATCTTTAAGCTTTCTCTCTCCAATTCCTTTCTGAGAAGATATCACTTAGACAAACAGTTTAATAACAGAATATGTTTCATGTATTAAATTACTATGCAACATGACAACAGATTTTGACAGAAATTGTTATCATGCCCAGAGGAATTACATTTCTACTGTCAAACCTTGTCAAGTCCTTAAAGCTCACATCATTACATCATCCACGTTTGTCCATCAGGAGACTTCACTGGCTCTGGCCACATCAAGATATTACACACTGTTCTTAAGGACAACCTGAATGCACAGGGACAGAACTATCTGTTAAGAATGATCCACTCTGTCTGTATGCTCCCATTTCCTTCCTGAATCTTTGTGACGTACATAATGAAGATGATTACTTTTTATCCTGACCAATTAACTGACCTAATTAGACAAACTGCTTGGGAAAACATTAGCTGTAACATGTAGCAGACAGGTAATATTGGGGTTTAACAAGCACATACATGAATAATAAAAATAATCCTAACAGATGTGCCAAGCCATCCTTTGGGGTGTCTATAAAGTTTCTAAAAATATGGCATACCCGTCACGTGAGTGTTTGAAGTTACGCTGCTTCGAGTTGTTTTCTTTTTGCCTTTAGACCTTTATTAAAGGAAATGCAAAAATCAGCAGCGATTATGAAGTTATTTATAGACTGCCAGACAGGGAAGATTGCATTCAAGTACCAATCTGTTGGACAAATGTGTGCTCTGCATTACTGTCGCCTCATTCATCCAGTTGTCCCTTTTCCTCAGGGAAGAGGCTGCCTTGTAAAGTGATTATTTCTGTTTTGGCAAATAGTCTTTTATGTTGGGATTAACTAAAAGGATGTCACGGATTGAAATCGGATCCTACTAGAGGTCATCTTGACTTTTAATATTATTATGGCTGTATCTTTTTAGGACATTAATATTTTGTTATGAATAGATCACAGAATCATATTGCAATTAAAGCCATAACTAGATCATCTTATTCAGCAGCCCAATCCTTTTGCATTGTAAAAATCAATCAATGGTACACAACTTTATGCAAAATGTTACATATACCAAAACAACATTTAAAGGTGGAATACTAATAAAGACTGGATATTTTATATTTTCCTTTTTAAATATTTCCTTGTTTGGAAAAAAAAATATGTTCAGGTGTGAAGATGTGTTCATCATTCAATTAAATGTTGCTTAAGAAACATCTCATCCAGACAGTTAAACTAGGGATGCACGATATAATCGGCCCCCTATCGGTATCGGCCTGTATCGGCCTTAAAACTGAATATCTGACATCGGCCACCCCACCGATATTTAACCCGATATTTGATCAGCTTCTGAGTTTCTAAAGTCTAAAAAAAATAAATAAAATACTACTTCTTCTTCGTCCTCAAAACTTCTTTTTTACAGACTTAAAAACCTTCTATCTTCATATGCTGATATATTGCCATTTAAAAACACCATATCAATCTCTTTTACTAATGAAATATTGCTGTATGTCATCGTTATGCTACGAAATCCCCCAAAAATTCACAAAATTTTGCCATATTTTTTATATGTTGATATATTGACACGGTATCGATCTATTTTACTAACAAAATCTCACAA